GATTCTTCTCCCAGGTATGGACCAATCATCTCACCCCTGGAAGCCTCTAGGCAGCGAGGCATTTTGAAATTAGATTCTAACTCGGAAAACCAATAGCTGGGGATCATCACCATATCCGGCGAATTTCCGAGGCTCGCCCCTAAAAGCATCCGGGTTAGGTGGGGCTGGCTTATCGATGCCATCGACCAGTTGGTGCTCGAGATGATTAATTTGATTAGCCTGTTGTTGTAGGACGTTCTCGTGTTGGTTTCTGAGGTTGCCAATTTCTTGAGCATGGTTTTGATCGCGGCGGTGAGCATCGATGCCAAACTGTTCAAGCTGTGCACGGATCATGCGGAGATCCTCGGTGGGGATTTGAACGTATTGAGGTGGGTCTTCCATTTCTGAATGGGCACCTGAAAATATAACAAGTCGAATAAAAAGATAAAAATAAAGTGATTCGTGAGAGATAGTTTTAAGACTTGATCAGAGTCTAAGATAAAAAATGTACGATACTAAGTTCTTCAAAAAGAAAATAGGTGTATTTGTTAACAAGAGATTCAAAAATCTAGTGGTAAAAAATCGCGATGAATGGGTTGTTTGTTGGTAAAACGGTTGGTTGATTCTATTGTGCGTAAAGGATAGAGGAATTCTTTTAGTTACTCTAACTGATCGAGGGAAAGGTGTCGAGAGAGATCGGAATAACTAGCTAGGGAATTACGAAGACTTACGACGGGTTTATTTGTGATTTGTGGGGTTGCTGTTTGTTTCTGGTTATAGGGTTTTCGATAAGGGTGTCTAAAGAAAAGGATATAAGAGAAACACAGAGTTAGAAATCACAGATAAATGAGGAACCTTGTTCGATATCAAGTAGACGATGATATTAGAGTTAGAGGGAAAAAGAATAAAAAAACACACAAATATATATTTGTGATTCCACTCACTTTCAAGGGGGCGAAAATAGGTGGGAAGTAACTTAGCGTTTACATTACTAGGGAGATGCGAGGTCTTTATATAGACGAGCATCTTTGGGCGAAGTACAGATAAGGAAATATTGTGGTACAATAAGAACAGCAGGATCGCTGTGATACAAGTTAGGTGGAGGACGCAAAAGGCCGGATCCGGTACTGCAGGATCCGGTTACAATTAGTGGAGGTCTACAAGATGTAAGTGATCGGGACGGATCTGGTAAGGTCCGTCTCGATAAAGGAAATGAATAAAAAAATAGAGACTTTGAAAAGCATTGAAAGCAAAATAGAGAAAAGAGAAAAGCGCGAAAGCGCGTACAAAGAGAACAAAGGGAACGGTCGAATCAGGGAATCACAGGCATGCCAGCTTATCTTTTGAATAGATAAATCCACGCTGACTTGATTGCCTATCACGGTGTTCAGGTGACTGAAAAGCGCTCTGCTGGAATCAACGCTTTCAATTGCACAGCTGAGGCTTTCAACGAGAAAACCGTGGAGGATATTCAGGATGGTGCTTACTCCGTGTTGTACGTTGTAAGTTTAAACAAAAGTTACTACTGTACATACCATATACTGATATTCTGGGAGAGTGTGATTGTTCAGAGCCCGGAGATTTTTCTGCATAATGAGCTATTCAAGAAGATGTACTTTAGTCAATGGTTTCAAAACCGTTTGATTGCAAAGGTCATTGATGAAGCTCACATGATCTATCAATGGGGTATGGTGGAGAGTGGGAAAAGGTCAAAACCGTGGATGAAAAGTGTCCAGGATGCTGGCATCTTCCGTCCGTCATATGGAAAGATGGGGATGAGATTGGCTGCCACCGATAAAATACCGATGCTTTTGATGTCTGCTACGTGTCCTCCAGATCACCGTGATTTGATTTATGCCAATCTAAAAATCATAAAAGAAGATATTAAGTATGTTGAAGGAGAATTAGCACGTCCCGAGATAACTATTCTACGATCGCCAATGCAAAATGCAAAATCGACTCTTGGTGACCTCAAGAATGTGTTTGCGCTCAAGACTCAAGTGCCTGACAGCCAGATTCCACCTACTTTGATTTATACTAGTACAAGAAAGAAGACAATGACCGCTTTGAAAGTCCTCAATCAAGCACGAGGAGTTGTAAAAGGCGAATACAACCCTATTAGTACTTTTGGTCGCCGCTTTCATTCAAATACAGGTCCTACAGATAAGATATCTGCTATTGCTGACTATGCGAAAGGCCTTTATCCGGTCATTGCATGTACATTGGCGCTGGGACTTGGCCAGAACTGGACAAGGGTCCGTCAAGTTATTCAGATGGGGAGAGCAGATGCTGCGGCTGTTTCCCAAATTATTGGGCGCTGTGGACGTAATGGGAAACCCGGAGTAGCTGTGTTCTATGTCGAAAAGAATCGAGTCAAAGGAAAAAACTCAGTATCTGATTTCAAAGGGTTGATAAAGTTTTCTGATGATGACCTTATGGATGGTTTGGCTATAACTCCAGTATGCTTACGAGTGGCTTTCACATTATCCAACTTGTACGTGTACTCTTTTGCAAATCCGAGAGAATAGACATCAGTTTCTAATTGGTTCGATACAACTGCATAGAATTGGAAGAATTCCGATGCGCAAAGACGAAGATATCTACGTAAAAGAGAAAGCGAGACAATCAAAAGCTGGCATGTGTGAATGTTGCTGCTCTAACTGCAAGCCTCAGCTGAGCAAAAAGTTGGTGTCGAACATGAAGTGGCTGACAATTTCAAACTTCGATGATGCCATAAGAAATCCGGACATTTTGGCGAATACGGCCCGAGATGTTTCCAACATCAATGTAGCTAATCCTACTGAGGACCTGGACACCGAAGTGGATCCTGATGCGCCAATAACAAATCAAAAAAGTAATGGTCCACCTCCTCGACGAATGGAATTGAAGCCTTTGGCGGAGATTCTCACTCGGACCATTGAAGATCATCATTTGTTGTTGATGGAAGATCAAGATCGTCTGAAGCCTTCGGATTACATTGATGAAGACGACATTTGGAGGATCCTGTACAAGATATATACAATTGATGCTATTGATGATGTATTCAAAATCCTTGGCTGTGATATCTTACCGGGTGGAGTCGAGAAAATTTACAAATGCATTGCGGAATGGAAGTTGGACAGTGTGGGTGTTCAAGCGATCCGTGAAATGCGTACACGGGAAGCTGCCATAAGGGTCCAACAGGCTGAGACCCTTGCTAGACTTCAAAAGCAACAAGAAGAGCGAGAGAAAAAGGCTCAAGAAGCACGTACATTAAAGGAAGAAAAGAAAAAAAGGCTTAGTGTAGACCGCCTTGCGGAAAGCGCTGCAAAGAAAATTCGGAAAGAAGAAAGTCAAAAGCGAAAGGATTCAGTAGCACACGCAAAAGCCATTCAAGAAGCAAATCGAGCAGCAAATGCACGAATGATTGCAGGTTTGGCTGCTGGGAAATCTATGTTTGTTTCAAATATTTTGTAATCTTTGGTTGATGATGAGCTAATTCAATATTTGCAGGACTCAAGTCGAAGCTGAAGAAGAAACGATTCGACTGAAAGATGCAACTCGTGATAATGGAGAAGCATGTTGAAAACTCATATGAACCATTTCCTTCATACAATGAAGATGTTTATTTAAGACGCACATCACAGCATTTGTTATATTACATTTATTCATTATCAAAAATATTGTAAAGTCGCACCTAATCATGTACTTGGTTACAAATTATACCTATATATATATATATTTAATCAATTTAATCTTAATATATCAATTTAGAATTCATATGATCAACTGAATGATTACTCCACATCTGATCCATGATCATTTCCTTCAGTATCATTATCACCATCTTTGTCTGAACTAAGATCCTCCCCTGCAGCTTGTTGCGCATGTGAACCACCAGCTTTCGGCCATTTAAACCTGCCGAGTTGATTATCTCGAGCGAACCCGCGGAGCTTCTTTAGACCCAGTTGATACATGTCATCCGCTCTACCTCCTCGTACCTTTGAACCAGGGTTACTTGCGGCCATTTGATGCTGGTGAGCCATTCGAAGGAAAGTTCTCAAAGTTGAATGATCGATAGTGTTTTTGTGTGATTGATACACATCGTTTAAGCCGGAGCGACCTTTAAGACGATGAAGCAATTCGCGTAGCTGAACAGATTGGTCAATACATGTATTCAATGTGACACAGCTGATACAACGATGATTGCATAATGAACTCACCAGAGGAATATTAATGGAATATAGGTCTCGGAGTCGTTTAATGGAAGTTCCTGCACCCTGGATAAGCAAAGGTTATCATCAGTATTGGACCAACGATCGAATGATACAGAGCTCAGTTAGCGCTTACCACATTATTATAGAAAAACTTGAGCCAGAAGTTTTGAACTTCAAGGTAGAAATCTTTGGCTACAAAATGACCTGCACGCCCACTAGGACATACAAGTAAGTTGTATTTGATGATCTCTGCAATGTCTGGTGGTAAAGTTTTATTGAGTAGTACTATGAGGCGTGGGAGGTAGTTGGCGTAGTGCTTTAAGCGGTTCATACCATGAGCCATCACGCTCCAGCGTTTCCACATCCTGATCATCCGACCGACGTCGCCAGCAGACATGGCACGATAAGCCTCGATCACAGTTGCAAAGTCGTGTAAGCGGAGAAGGAGTCTGAGTAATTCCTCATCACAATTGTCTTCGGCATTCTGAATATCCTTGGGACCGAAATACCGATTGAAAGTTTCATCAATCACATCCATCATCCTCTCCGGCGTCATCTTCACTCGATCTTTCCCTACAGTTTCTACATTAAGTTTCATTACTCGCCTGTAAATGCATCAGCAAAGGTTGTCTCGATCATATTGAAATATAAATTATCAACTTACTGAATACATAAAGTAATGGAAGCTTCATGGAGTCGCTCCATCGATTGCATCATGGCTGTAAAGTCCTTCTTGCTCGTGGGCTTGTCAAATCTTCCTGCCAACGCTTCAATCCCCCTCCAAGCGCCCATATCTTTAACATCAGTATGACTACCCCAGTGCTCTAGTAGGATAGCTTGAGAAATGTTCCACATTACGTGAGCAGCTCCGAGTATCATGAGGATGTGTTGAAAACTTTCGGCCGGAGCGGAGCAAGGATCACGTTCATCGACTACGCTTGAAACTATTCGAGCCGTTCCCAAGTCGCCTTCCCAGATTTGCGCTCGGCTGGCGTACTTCTCTTTGGATAAGCCGGTTTGATGTAACACTGCATTGTATAAATCACCTACACCAGCAGTTGAGTTGTCCAAGGCTGACATCATCTTCAGCATCATAATGTCGGGTTTTTCAGTGGGAAGTTGCTTGACTTCGGGCGGGTATCGATATGGAATCATCTTTCCATCAATCGGTTGGGCTACATATTTAATTAGAACGTGTGAAATTTGAGATTTCAAAGTAAGATTCCAGTCTTTGATTTCGGCTGGTGTGGGCGTAATGTCTGTAATACTGATAGGTTGCTGCTCAGATTTGTTCAAGATAGCCTGCAGGTTCTCAGCAGTGAATACATCGTGATCAAGAGGGATTCCTTCAGGTATTTTCGGCCGATGTATGTAGCCCCAAGAGCCGTTACACATGGTGCTGTCCTTCTGTACGGTAGGTGTGTGTACATGTTCTTGGAAATCGATATTGTTGAGGGTGATGAAAGGAGCTAGCCAATGCTCCTCGCCCATCACCTCAATCAATTTAAGCTTCAATTCGTGTCCTAAGTGTTCCAAGGCGTGGATTGCGGTCTTTTGATTGACTGAGAGTCCCATGTATTGAAGGTAAGCATTGACATGTTCCGAGACACCACAAGCAAGCATTGTTAGACCGTTTTTGACTTGAAGTGCATTAACTCGTCGATTGCAAACATTTGCAACCATCGAACAGATAGTTCGAGTCACCTGAAATGGAATGAAAACTAAAGTCAGTGTGTATTTCGTTAATTTTAAGTGAAATGATGAACATGTACTGAAGTACTTCAATTCTTGATGTTTTGTGCTTGATCACCCAATTTTTTCAAAACAGAGCCGTCCCAGCTATGTACATATTTGTTATCATCGGCCAAGGTTGAAGCTTCCATGTCACGAACATCTTGATCCACCAGTGGTCTAACGTCGGAGTTTTCTAAGGATTCATCATCTGAGCCTAAATGATTGAGATCTTGATCAATAGCATGATGAGTTTTTTTCGATTGGCTAGAAGAATTGGACTTCAAAGATGGATTAGAAGTTTTATGCTTTGATTTTCGTAGATCTGCTGCTTGCACTTGTGCCTCTAGATTATGAGTAAATACTGATTGAATTAGATTGTATAAGAAAGGCATCGAACTCTCAAGGATATTGTCTCGTTCGTGTACAACGGCCATATCAAACATCGAAGGTGTCACCTTTGAGGTATTGATGTAGAAACCGTTGGGAACGCTACCAGACGGTGGCTGTTGGTTCTTGGCTAAAATAATCGCCTACACACAGGAATGTTAAAAAAGTTATATAATTTTATTACTTCCTGAAATGACTAACCTGAGATAAAACCCACTCCTCCCAAAACTCCCGACCTCCCTTGTTCTTCACAAGGATGTCTCCGATGACACTAAGTAATCTGCCAGTCGACTCAATACCAACACCCGTAGCCCACCTGCTTCGAGACTTCACAATTTCCGGATCGCTGGATGATAACCAAGCTTTGATAAAGCTTTTGGGTTGAAGGTGGTTGTCCTCGATACACGTCACGATGCGCTGTAATGCTTTTAAAGACACCGGTGTTGAACCCGGGCCAGAAGGCGTTGGCGTAATGTTGAGACTTTGAGCCATAAATGACAATGTCGATGGTGATAATATGAACTTCGAGGAATTTGGAAATAATAAAAAACAAAGGTTCCCCTCGACGTTGATGAAACGTACAAAGATATGTCTGGAGTTTTTGACAATTGAACAAAACAAAACAGTATCATTTATAATTATTGCCTGCACATCAAATTTCGATTTCAAAAAATTCTTGTGGTTCTTGAGAAAGCTAGGAGGGAGATATGGAAAATCTGAAGAGGCAGTCTTGAAGGGGATGGTTCAAGGTATCTCCAGTTGAAAGGGGCACGGGGGTTTATTGAAACGAAGTGGGTTTTTTTGCGGTTTTAAAAAACCTCTCCGCCAAACTCAATTTGAAAACCCCCTGTCGAGCCACCAAGCCCGGCTTATAATTCATAAGTCCCTCTCCAGACCCCCGAGCTTGTGAGGAAAAAGGGTCTGACTGAGGGTCTTAGTTAAGTTAGTCGCAGAGGGGCTTGTTCAAGCTAACCTGGAGAGGGACTTGCGAATTATCAGCTACTTTTGGTGTGTCGACAGGGACCCGAGAAGGATCGCTCGGGTAAGTTCTCTATACAGTCTAATATCTCCTGTAGTTCATACAGTACGTAAATTCTGAGTAGAGCAAATTGATCAGACTTCCCGAATGAACAGCTTTGCTATTTGAACAAAGGTCAAACTGTCCTCTTGCTATTGCAAGAGGATCGAGAAGAGTTTTTTGAGTCGAAATGAAATTTGAAGAGCAATTAAACCAGTTTAAACTAATTTAAACTGATTTAATCACTTTCAAAATGATTGGTCAACATGATGTTGAGGTAAAGTGAGCATCAGAAGCTTCAAAACTTCAACTTCTCATCGATTCTTTTGGATGTCTCAACGCACCGCCGCTAAGAATGTTAGTACCCAGGGTGATAGTTTACCTGGATGCCAGGATGAGTCTGACGTGGAAGATGAAATACATCAACCCACAAAAACCACTCCCACCGGCCGAGTGGCGTTATGTGTTTGTATACGTCGTGAATCTAAAGAAGCACTTTATCGGAGGATTCAAGATTTGTTTCGAAAACGATACAATCAAGAAGCAAAGGATTTGCAGATTAAAGTAGTACAGTTACTAGTCAAAGGGTACGATGTATTCTTTCACGCCGGAACTGGTTTCGGGAAAACCAGGATTGCAGAAATATTCTTCTGGCTGCATGGCACACGTTCAAAGCCAATCTATATAGTTCTCAACCCTTTGGATGCGCTAGGGGATAATCAGGCATGTGCAACTTGATCATTTTACAGTGGTTGATGCAAGCTTACCCTTGTTTCATACTTGGAACGGCAATTCAGGTGACTGAAAAGAACTCTGTTGGTATCACTTCATTCAATTGTACAGCCGAGACTTTTACGGAGAACACCGTCAAAGAGATTCAGAATGGTGATTACACCGTCCTGTATGTGGTATGTTGGGTTCAAAGTTCAAACGTAATGACTGTACTATAATGGCGACTAATATTCCAGGAGATTTGATCTATACAGAGCCCGGAAATCTTTCTACATAACGAGCTCTTCAAGATTATGTATTTTGCTCAATGGTTTTGAGATCGTTTAATTTTAAAGGTTATTGATGAAGCCCATATGATATATCGGTGGGGCATGGTTGAGAGCGGGAAAAGGAGTAAGCCTTGGATGAAGAGTATTCAGGATACCAGCATCTTCCGTCCCTCGTATGGAAATATGGGGATGCGATTAGCGGCAACCGATAAAGTGCCAATGCTTTTAATGTCTGCTACGTGTCCCCCAGTTCACCGTCAACTGATTTATGCAAATCTTAAAATCAAAAAAGATGATATTCAATATGTGGAAGGTGAACTAGCTTGGCCAGAGATAACAATTTTGCGATTGCCAATGCAAAACGCAAAATCATCTCTTGGTGATCTCAAGATGGTGTTTGCCCCCAAGACCAAAGTTTCCGACAACCAGATTCCACCGACTCTGATTTATACCAATACACGAAAGAAGACAATGACAGCATTGAAGGTACTCAACAATTCACGAGGAGTTCCAAAAGGCGAATACAATCCTCTTAGTACTTTTGCTCGGCGTTTTTATTCCAATACGGGTCCTACAGATAAGATACGCGCTATTGTTGACTATGCAAAGGGGGTTTATCCAGTCATCACGTGTACATTAGCCCTAGGTCTTGGTCAGAACTGGACCAGGGTGCGTCAAGTTTTCCAGATGGGAAGAGCCGATGCTGCTGCAGTGTCCCAAATCATTGGGCGTTGTGGACGTAATGGTAATCCAGGTTTAGCTGTGTTTTACGTTGAAAAGTATCGAATTAGAGGCAAAAATTCAGTTGCCGATTTCAAAGGCTTGAAAACTTTCTCCGACGACGACCTTATGGATGGTTTGGCCATTACTCCAGTATGCTTACGAATTGCCTTCACATTATCTAACTTGTATGTAATCCCATCTGTAATTCTAAGAGGATGAAGATCGGATTCTGATTTGTTGTATAACATATCTACGTAGAATTGGAAGAATTCCATTGAGTGAAGATGAGGAAATATACGTGCAAGAAAAAGCAAGAGAAGAAAAGGCAGGGATGTGTAGATGTTGCTGCTCGAATTGCGAGCCTGAGGCAAGCAAAGTCTTGGCCACAAACATGAAGTGGCTTACCGTTTCCAACTTCGATGCTGCAATAAAAAACCCAAAGATTTTGTTGGATTTGGCTTGTCATAAGTCAAACATCGATGTGGCTAATCTTGCTGAAGAGGTAAACTCCGAAGTAGATCCTGATGCACCAATCATCAATCAAAAACCCAACGCTCCTCCTCCTCGTCGATTGGAATTGATGCAGTTGGCAGAGGAGCTCATTCGGACCATCGAAGAGCATCATCGAGACTTGATTGATGATCAAGATCGGCTCAGGCCTTCAGATTATATCGATGACAACGACGTTTGGAGGATCCTAAATAAGATCTATACAATTCAGACTATTGAAGATGTATTTGAGATACTCGGCTGCGATATCTTACCAGGAGGAGTTGAAAAAATTTATAATTGTATATTTGAATGGAAGTCGGGTAGTGTTGGTGTTCAAGCAATGGCCGAAATGCGTGCTCGAGAAGCAGCTACCAGATTAATACAGGCTGATACACTTTCTAGACTTCAAAAACAACACGAACAAAGAGAGGCAAAGACTCTTGAAACACGTACTTTGAGGGAAAATAAAAGAAAAAGGCAGAACATAGATCGGCTTGCGGATACAGCTGTGAAACAAAAACGGAAAGAAGATAATGATAAGCGTAAAGCCTCTGTAGCCAAGATGAAGGCCAATCAAGAAGTGCAACGCGCAGCCAATGCTAGAATGATTGCGGGTTTGGCTGCTGGAAAAACAATGTAAGCTCCGATTACTTCCTGTTCACTTCGGTGATGCTGAGCTGCTTACATACTTGTAGGGAAGAAGTCGAAGTTACAGAACAAATGATCAGCTCTCAGAATTCTGAGAAAGAGAATCAAACTGGCCCTTCATTAAACATATGACCTATTTTTTAGACGACTTTGAAGATCAGACTCATTTGTATTTGTCTCACATTTCCTTTGTTTGTTAAGACAAATATGTTGTATTTCATTCGTCCAACATCAAATACTCTGTAGAGTTACATATATTCATGTACTTAAATCTTAAATACACTTCATATCCAATTAACCACGCAACTTAATAACAATGTACCAACTGATTTTAATATATTAAAAATGAAATAATGTTTAATCTGAATCAGATCCATGAGAATCATTGTGACACTGTCTATTTTCATCTTCATCCAAACTAATATCATCACCTGCAGCTTCTTGAGCGTGTGATCCACCCGCTTTCGGCCAATGAAATCGCCCTAGTTGATTATGACGTGCAAAGTCTCGTAGCTTGTTGAGTCCTTGTGCATACATGTCATTGGGCAAACCTCCTCTCAGGGTAGAACCAGGGGAACTAGCGGCGATATTGTGATGGTGAGCCATTCGCAGAAAGTTCCTCAGTGTTATATGATCGATGGTGTTTTTATGCGACTGATACACGTCATTTAAACCTGAGCGACCCTTGAGCCGATGGAGAAATTCTCGCAGCTAGAGCAGGTTGATGAACACATGTATTCAACGTTACACATCCACAGCTAACGTAACCATCAATGTATTGGACTGACCAGTGGGACATTGATCGAATATAAATCTCTGAGCCGCTTGATGGACGTTCCAGCCCCCTATATATACAAAATTTAGTGTAAGTATGGATTTTGGAAGAAGGATCAAAAGATAAAAAGCAAACTTAGAGCTGACCATGTTATTATAGAAAAACTTGAGCCGGAAGTTTTGAACTTCAAGGTAGAAATCTTTGGCTACAAAATGACCTGCACGCCCACTTGGACAGACCAGCATGTTGAATTTGATGATGTCTGCAACGTCTTGCGGTAGAGTTTTATTTAGTAAGACTATGAGGCGTGGCAGATAGTTTGCGTAGTGTTTTAATCGATTCATCCCGTGAGCCATCACGCTCCAACGTTTCCACATTCGAATCATGCGGCCGACATCTCCGGCGGACATTGCACGAGAAGCTTCTATAACTGTCGCAAAATTGTGTAAACGGAGAAGTAGTCTTAGTAGTTTCTCGTCATTTTCGGACTCAGCATTCTGAATTGCCTTGGGACCAAAATACTGATCAAAAGTTTGATCTATCACTTCCTTCATTCTCTCGGGTGTCATCTTCACTCGCTCTTTCCCTACAGTTTCGACATTAAGTTTCATAACTCGCCTATAAATTGGTCAGCAATGGTGAAATTAATAGTATTTAAAGGAAAATCGACAACTTACTGAATACATAATGTGATTGATCCTTCATGGAGTCGCTCCATTGAACGCACCATCGCAGTAAAGTCCTTCTTGCAGGTAGGCTTCTCAAATCGGCCCGCTAGAGCTTCAATTCCCCTCCACGCACCCATATCTTTCACATCGTTCGGAGTACCCCAGTGTTCCAGTAGGATCGCTCGAGAAATGTTCCACATGACGTGAGCAGCACCAAGAATCATGAGTATGTGTTGAAAACTTTTGGCAGGAGCAGAGCAAGGATCCTGTTCATCGACTACACTTGAAACTATTTGCGCAGTCCCCAAGTCACCTTCCCAGACTTGAGCTTGGCTGGCGTACGTTAATGCACCGACCCGGCCCGGAAAAACCGGGTTGGCCCCGGGACCGGGACCGGGTCAAGCGGGTCTCGGCGCGGCTCCAAGGAAGATTGGGCTGACCCGGTCTGGCCCGTTGATAGGAAAACAGGCAAGTTTTGGTGAAATGATCTGCAATTTCCACAGAAAATGATATCATTTCTTCATTTAGTCAAATTATTATTCACTATTGCTGCCATACAAGGCTTTTACAAAGGTATCTGAAGCCCAATTCAGGATTTGAGCCTGCCCGGCGTCAATTTTGTGAGTTATTTGTTACTTTCAAAGCGCACATTGAGTTTGAGCTACCGGACCGGGTCGACCCGGTTTGAAGCTGGCTTGGTCTCGGGCGAGCTGAGAATCTCCGGGTCAGGGCCGGGTCGATGCATTAGCGTACGTCTCCCTTGATAGGCCGGTCTGATTTAACACCGCGTTGTATAAATCACCAACACCTGCAGTTGAGTTGTCAGATGCCGACATCATCTTCAACATCATAATGTCGGGTTTCTCGGTTGGAAGTGGAGTAACTTGAGGCGGATATCGGTATGGAATCATCTTCCCATCAATCGGTTGGGCTACATACTTAACTAGAGTTTGTGCAATCTGAGATTTTAAAGTTAAATTCCAGTCTTTGATTTCGGTTGGTGTTGGTGTAATATCCGTAATGCTGATAGGTTTCTGCTCCGCTTCATTCAATATGGCGTTCAACTTCTCAGCAGTGAACGAGTCGTGATCCATTGGGATTCCTTCCGGTATTTTCGGCCGATGAATGTAACCCCAAGATCCGTTACACATAGTGCTCTCCTTCTGTACGGTAGGTGTGTGAACATGTTCTTGAAAGTCAATATTGTCAAGAGTGATGAATGGAGCTAACCAATGGTCCTCTCCCATCACATCGACCAATTTCTTCTTTAACTCTTGTCCTATGTGTTCCAAGGCGTGGATTGCGGTCTTCCGATTGACGGAGAGCCCCATATATTGAAGGTATGCATTGACTTGTTCGGACACACCACACGCTAGCATTGTTAGCCCATTCTCAACCTGGAGTGCATTCACTCGTCGATTACATACATTTGCTACCATTAAACAGATAGTTCGAGTAACCTGAAACAGATTTAAACACCAAAATCAGTGCGTATCCTTAACTGAAATTATCAAGACGAAGTACTGACTGAAATACTTCGATTCTTGAGATTTTGTGCTTGATCTTTAGACTTTCGAAAAACATAGCCATCCCAGCTCTGTACATACTCGTTGTCCTCACCCAAAGTCATTCCTCCAAGACCACGAACTTCTGAATCCTCAAGTGGTCTAACATCGAAGTTGTCTAATGAATCATCATCTGAGTCTAAAGTGTCATTATGTCCATCGATAGCAGGTTGAGTGTTTGATGATGGGCCAGATGGCTGAATACTCGAAGAAGTATTTGAAGTTTTGGATTCTTTTGATTTACGCCGTGACTTTCGTAGGTCTGCTGCTTGTACTTGTGTCTGTAGGTTATGAGTAAAGATTGATTGAATCAGACTATACAGGAATGGCATCAATTCTTCAAGGAGGATGTCTCGATTGTGAATGTCGGCGTGATCGAAATTCAATGGCGTGACCTTTGATTTATTGATATAGAAACCTTTCGGAACACTACCAGATGGTGGTTGTTGGTTTTTGGCCACTTTGATCGCCTGATTACAGATGTTGATAAATAGAAAAATTAGAACAATGTGACTATGATCTCGTGAAGTGGTATCACTAACCTGTGATAAAACCCACCCGTCCCAGAACTCTTGACCGGGCTTGGTACTCAAGATGATATCTCGGATTACGTTAAGCAATCTACCAGTTGACTGCAGACCAACCCCCATGAACCACCTGCGTTGAGACTTCACAATTTCCGGATCATTTGACGATAACCAACCTTCAATGAAACTTTTTGGTTGAAGGTGATTGTTTTCGATGCATGTCACAATACGTTGTAAAGCTTTTAATGAAACTGGTGTTGAACCTGGCGCAGAAGAGGTTCTCGTATTGGCGAGACTTTGAGACATAATTGAAATTGCTGATGAGGTGGTAATATCAACTTTTATTTCGAAATGAAAAAAGGCAATGTTCAACCTGACGTTGATCAGACGTACAAAGATATGTCTGGATTTTTGGACAATGGAACAAAAGTGTTAAGTATAATCTTATGAATACAGGACTTATTGCCTGCACATCAAATTTCGATTTCAAAAACTTCCCACAGTTCTTGAGAAAGCTACGAGTGGGATGTGGGAAATCTGAATAGACAGATTTGAAGGCAATAGCTACAGGTATCTCCAGTTAAAATGAGCATGGGGGTTGATTGAGAGTAAGTGGGTGTTTTTTCGTTTTGAAAAAAGCTCTCCGCCAAACTGTCATTTTAAAGGCCCTGCCGACACACTGGGGAAGGCCGATAATTCCTAAGTCCCTCTCCCAGACACCGAGCTTGTGAGGAAAAAATGTCTGGGCCACTAGAGGGACTTAGTTAAGTTAGGTGATCAAGTGTTTTACAGACTTTGATATGGTTGTTGCACGCCGCCTTGATATTTCTTTTTTGTCATCCAAGCTTGCTAAGTATAAGGTATCTCGGCGTGCCCATAATGGTACATCCTTCCACCACGCCGGGTGAAGGGAAATGTATGTGAAGTTTTGATGAGACTAAACATTGCTGTGCTGCCAGTCTGTGCAACAGGCAAGGTTGCGAAGTCATATTGACAAAGTCTACAGTTGTACCGGAAATGTAAGGGCCCGTTCGGCTGTTTTTTCCAAAAGTCGTTACACAAAAACCAATTTTCATTTTGCCCCATTTTCAAGGGGCAAAATGAAAAGCTGAATTTTGGCTTCTTCATTTACCGAACAGTCAACCAAAAAGGTCAATGAAAGATCAAAATGATCATCATTGACCTTTTGATCACCGTTCGAGTGTTTGGTAACGATCATTCAAGAACCCTTTGTGACCAAAACTTGAAATTCAAACAATCACACATTCACCCATCCATCATGGTCATCGAAGACCCCCATCATTCTTCAATTATACGTACATTCTTTGATACTTGTTTGTTCAATGAAAGTTCTCAATTCATAATCAACTTGATTGAAAGAGTTAAAAAGACGACAAGAGTTGTTAAGAGACGTCAACAAGGGTTGTCACAAGACAACGATGAGAGTTCTTACAAGAGAGTTGTTATAGATAGACAAGAGAGTTATCAAAAGACAACAAGAGTTGTTAAAAAACGGACGATCAATCGTAAGGCAAAGACGAAGACGATGATAGGGAAGAAAGGTGGATGGGAGAGGGGTGTGTGAAGCATTTAAAAGGGTGGAGGGGTACATAGAAGATGGGGTGAACTGTGAAATGATTGATTGAGGTGGGGCAAAAGCTACTTTTCGTCTCAAAAACAGCCTCAAGGCTGATTTTGAAATTGAACCAACTTTTGATCAAAAGTAGCTTTTGATTTTGATAAACAGAACTTTACCGAACACGGGAGTTTTTGACCAAAATCAAAAGCTACTTTTGGTCAAAAGTGCTTTTTGGTTTTGGTGAAGCTTTTGGACAAAAGTTACTTTTGGGTTTCAGCCAAACAGGCCCTAATATTGGTGGAACCGGTAGGTGAGAACTGGGATTAGGTCAAGCTTGGCAAGGGTCAAAGTGGAATCATCCAAGGATGGTTGCTAAGGGGCTGCACAATCTGTACTAGGGCTGTGGCCCGGGCCCGACCCTGACCAACTGGCTTTGCCCGACCACATCTCAATGGTCCACATGGCCGGGCCCGGGGTCACGAGACTTAGCCTGGCAATGCTCTGAAAGGCCCTGCGGGCGTCTCGGGCGCCCGACCCGACCGGGTTGCCACTGCTTTTCTGGTGACTAAGCCCATCAAAAAACAATGTTTGAATGAAAAAACAGGTGACATACAACTTACCTGCCAGCTGATCATCACCCATTGCCCCTGCCAAGCCTCTGGGCTCAACTTCTGGCCCTGCCCTGAGTGAGCCGAGCTGTTTTTGGAAGCCATCGGGTCACATCAGGTCCGGGTCTGGTCGCGAGGCTGGCCCTGAGCTTGCAGGTCCAGACCACAGCCCTAATCTGTACATGTCTCACAGTTGTACAAATCCAACACATGTGTGTATGAAAAGGGTGTGTAGCACATAGCTACAAAATTTCACAGGCCTTTGAGTATTCTGCATTGTATGGTGAGTTGAGCATTAAGGGGTTTCAAGTTTGAATTTTTTATATGTTTTTTTAAAAATTCGGTCAAGTTTTATACAAAACCATAAGATTTTAAACTTGACCGTTTGTAAAAATCCAGCACGCTGGATAATTGAGGTCGTAAAAGAAACTTGACCGTTTCAATACCCAAGCTTTTAATAACTCAACCTTGGAATAAAGTGCTTGGTGCTGAGGTTCTCTTGGAAATCCGAGAAACCCTTTCTCCTCATGTAAAGACAGGTAAAGAAGAGAGGAAAAACTTGTCTGAATAATTTTTATAAGCGTATGTTTACGCTAAATTTAAAACGGGAGGCGTAAAAAGGTTGACTGTTTTAAAAATATTTTACGTAAAATTTCAAGTGTCATACGAAGTCCTGTCTAAGATTACAGTCCTGCGTGACTTTTCCAATGTCCTGTCAAGTCCTGTGTGACTATCTCCTATGTTCTTATTTCATTTCATACTTACATAATATTTCATATTTCATTTCATAACTGTCTGCTTAGAGCATCCCCAACGGTGGCCTGTAAACGTAAGAAACGTAAGGTGTATTTGACGTTTACAAGGTTGGGTCAAAAAACGTGCATCCAACGGTCGTTCAATTTCTCACATCTGGCCACGCGTGTGAAACTCCTTTTGAGGGATACTGGGTTTCACACGTCATGACCTCTATGCCTCCGGGGTCATCTCGAAACAACCAGATGACAGGAATTGTGATGTATTAGACACAATGTAACCACGTGTGCCAATGATATTGGCAAGATATCTTATCAAAGATAACAAAGAACACCCACAGCACAAGCAATCGATTGATTGTGCTTGGTGTTCATTGCGCATTAGTACCACTATGAGTACATCTTGACCACACACATGAGGGCAATCCGAATGGCTTACCCAACCACACCCTGCATTGACAGAGAACTTGCGAGCAGTATATAAGTCAAACTGCTATTCTTACTAACGTCCACCCCTGCCTCCATCCCTGTTCATATTATTTTTGTTATGTGGTAATCGTTGTTACAAAGCCCTTCATATTTTAACAAGGCCTATCATTTTAGTTTGTCACATCCTTATAAATCCCCACTCGCCTCCCATCCACATCAAAACTTTAAGCTTGTTATTCTTTAGTCTTTAGACATGGCCTCTAATGAGTCTTACACATCTAGTCAACGTGGCTTTGCTCACTCAAATGCCGTCAACAGTCCTGCCAATGGTGAGTGAGGATTTTTGTACTTCATGTGATGTGTATGATGCCAATACCATTTGGACCTATCTCCAGATCTTGGTGTTCATCGCGGCGCTGGAGTTTCCTATTCAAGCAACACCAACACCATGCGAACACCTGATCATGGTTAGTTAACTGGTCATCTCCGTGTATCAGCACTTGTACTCATGTCTAACTTTGCTTAAAACTCAGGTCGAGGAGGTGAAATAACTTCCGTTTCACAAGGTCATCACTTTGGATTTAGTGTTCGTCCATCTAGCGGCCCACATCCCAGCCCTCTTTCAACGTACGGCCGTGAAGAACAGGTCATTATTCCTCATTCTGGCAGTCAACTGCGCGGCGGAGGCTCTGTTTCAAGCCGTAGCGACTACGGCGGTCCTCCCCCTCCTTCTCAGCGCAACACTAGTTCTCACTACAGCAACCAACTCTCTAACCGTTGTCTATCTGTAGATTTGATAGAACCAGATTTTCAACCTTTCCCTTATACTCAACAATCTAGTACACCTATAAATACTCAACGATCATCACAAAGCCAGTCAACAGTCCTATCAAAACGATCACACTCGGCTCGAACCGCTGCTTCCAATGAACCTGATGCTCATGCTGCTCAACCTGGTCCTGGCGGTGGTCGCGGTCCCACCTTCAACAGGGCATCGCTAGAACAGCTGTGTAAATCTTGGATCAACATTTCCGAAGATTCTGTTGTCGGAACCGATCAGAAGGGCACTACCTTTTGGAAGAAACTCACGGACGACTTCAACAGCAGAGTTTCACCTTCTTGTCATCGCACTCTCAAGTCACTCGAGTCTCGCTGGGGTACTCTCAATCATGCGCTTGCTAAATTTGCAGGATGCCTACAACAGGTCCAGATGATTCGGGAGTCTGGTAAAGGTCCTCAAGATTAATTTGTGGATGCGTTAGATCTGTACGCAACAGACATCGGTGGAGAATTTAAATTTGTATCGTGTTTCGAGATTGTCAAATCATCACCGAAGTGGCAATCAAATTCCACTGTTCTCAAACACTTGGGGAAATCTGGAGTTGACCATGACTATGTACTCCCCCACAACCTCTTATCTTCCGCTGGAAGCTCTACTAGTTCAACTAGTTCAACTACCACTGTCAACCTCAACAGTTTACCTTCTATGGAACGACCTGAAGGTAATAAGAAAGCTAAGCGCAATCGAAATGCCAAACCTCACGATGAAATCCAGCCTCAAATTGTGATCAATCAGACTAACCAGCTCCGTGTAACTGAAAGGATTGCCGAACAAGGTGAGCGGGCCACAACCGCTCTCGAAAGGATGGTAGAGCTTTCTGTCCTCACGATAGACACGTCAAACCTTGATGAAAGAACCCGGGCAGGTATTCAGGCAGCCAAGGATAGAATCAACCAAAAGAACGAGGCTCAACGTGATGTTTGATTACTAGGAGTTACGGTGGTTATGGGTCATCTTGGTTTTGTTATCTTTTTTCAATGTGTCATGGTAGTTATGGCCCATCTTTGCTTACTGTGCCGTCATGGCTGTGCTTGTACTTACGCGGTTGTACTGGACAGCCTGCGTGTCTCCTGCGTGTATTTTCTTGATCCTGTTTCCCTTACAAATAGCGTCCGTCTCTTCTGTCCTTTCCTTTTTCTTCATTCATCTATACACACTCGCTTTGTTTACGACCTTTGGCTAGCTCTCTCTCACTTTTAGTACATAGTGTATATATCTGTTGTCCATATAACGCCATTAGTACATAGTGTATATATCTCTTTCCGCACCTCCTCAATTCAAAGTTATAACGGATAATGTCATCGACAAGTTCAACTGGATACTCTGAGGTTAACACCTCTAGTTTACCTGAAGGCAAGTACCCCAATTGATCTCGTAGTATGAAGACCAGATTAAGTTAACTTAGTACTCGTAAACAGTCACTTGGTTACCCATCATGTCAGGCTCTCGCATGATTTTCAATGGGTTTATTCCAGCACGTACTTATTTTGAACATCGTGCTCAATGGGAGCCTCTTCCCTTGGCGCAAGTTGGATTCGAAGCGACTGATCATATAGACCCGCAACTACTTGTAAACACCACAAACACCACACCTGATAACGAAGTTAATAACGAAGGTACGTCTGTATAATCTGAGCTTGATGATGTTATGGCACTATAATTGACTAAATAACCTCACCACAGCTCACGATGCTGTTGATCAAGAAATCGAAGTGGGTGATGTGATGGACATCAACTCCAGCCCTCGAGCTCAGCGATACATTCGCCGCAATTCCAACCAGTCAGTCCGCAATGCGAATGTCATAGATCTTACGCTCAGCCCTCGAGTTCGACGCGAGATCGAACGGCTTGAACAGTATCATCGCACTCGCGGAGTTAAACAAGAGATGCGCCGGATAATCAAGGTGGTCCAGGACAAGCGCAGATCAGAGTTTCGCCTGCTCCGCGAGGCGCTTGGTGAGGTCTATGCTTACAGTGGCCCATACCTTGAAAAGACGGGTGATAAAGAAGCTGCTGCTGAATTGATACGAGGAGGAGCTTTAGGTGCCGAGTTTGTCCAAGATTTTGATAACGACGCCAAATGGGCGTGGCTTCAAATCCGCGTTAATGCCTCCAGAGATAGCTTTTGATTTTGTGGATTGGTAGTTTTTCAAGTTCCTTTTCATCTCATCACGTATATGTTCATCTCAATAAATGTCTCGATAGTTCCAATTGGGTCATTTCTAGTCTAGTCTGCTTGTAAATAATGTGGATTTCAGTTCATCACATCATTTTATCTCATTAAGTACAATTTGATCTTGTTATGGAGTTAGTTCCTGTCCGAATGATCCTCTGAATGCTTCATGACTTGTGCACAAGTCAAAAAGTTGTGAGCAAGAGTTAAAAAACAACTGAGCGTATCAATTATACACATTATACACAAGTAAAAAACAACTGAGCGTATCAATTATACACATCATACACAAGCCAGCGAGAAAAGAAAAAAAGGACTAATGTCGAGATGAAAAGAGAAGTGAGTGATTCAATCAAACGTAATTAAACGAGAGAAATGTTTGATCAAATATGGGTGAAAAGGAACATAAACCAAAAATGTTTATACACACTATACACATGAACAAGGCGGACAAGGAAAGAATGATACAAGGGAAAAATGAACATGGATCAACTATTGACTAAGGTTCAGCAGAACATGTAGAGTTAAAAAAATCAAACATAACTCAGAACAAGGTGATCAAAGAGAGAAAGCTATACAAAATGAAATGAGTTAAATCTAAATAACTTCCTCAGCAGCGCCAAATACCTCCCATAGGTGTTCTACCAAGTCGTCACGTAAATTTCAATGAGCTTGTGGGTTTCAAAATGCAGTACGTCCTTCTTTGAAACAGACATAAGTACGAGGAAGTCGAACGGGTGGGTTAGGAAAGGGTCCATATTGGTGTATATTGTTTGCACCTTGAGGTTCATCGGACTGATCCTCCACGATCATGTTGTGCAAGATGATGCAACAGTTCATGATCAACTCCAGGTGAGCCGGCTGCCACATCCGGCAAGGTCCTTTTATAATTGCAAAGCGAGCTTGAAGCACACCAAAAGTTCGCTCGACATCCTTGCGCACAGCTTCCTGGACTTTAGAGAAGAGCTGTAGAACATAGTAGGACATATAGTCAGCTTAGCCGTAAATCATTATCAAATCACTTGAAATAATTACACACCTTTGGTTTCTCATCTTGAGGACTACTGAAGGTCTTAATAAGCGTGGCCCAGTCAGGATAGATGCCATCCGCAAGATAATAAGCGGTCTTGTAAACTGAGCCGTTGACTGTAAATTCGCAGGGGGGAGCGATTCCTAAAGCTAGATCTTGGAAAAGGTGAGATTGGTCTAAAACGTTGATATCATTTAAACTTCCTGGCAGACCAAAGAACGAGTGCCATATCCACAGATCATGAGTGGAAACAATTCAAGAACAAGAGTCGGAGAACCCCCTTTGCCACTATAGTGACCCTTCAAACCTGTTGGGCAGTTCTTCCACTGCCAATGCATGCAGTCGAGGGATCCAAGCATACCGGGAAAACCTCGATCCGAATTGATGGCCAGGATTTTTTCCACATCTTCGGGTGTAGGTTTGTGTTGGTACTTATCTTTGTAAGCAACAATCAATCCCAAACAAAATCTTTTGAGAGACTCGATAGCCGTTGATTCCCCAATACGTAGATATTCGTCTTGCGCATCAGCAGATGTTCCGTAGGCCAGTTGACGAAGTGCGGCGGCACATTTCTGGTACGGAGATAGACCGGGTTTGCCTGCAATGTACGTTCACATTAGTATTAGGACAAGCTTTGAAAGCAACAATTGAAAAACACTAATTGACTAACCAGTACAGCCATTCCTTTGGGTGAAGTAAGGGTCCTGTTCACCCAATTTCTTCGCAATACGGCAGAATAACCGTCGACTCATTCGGAAACGTCTTCTAAACATTCCTTCGCCATAGACTGGCGAAACGTCGAAGTAGTCCTTCAGTAAACCAAGGTTTCGCTGGAATGCGTCTCTAGGCAAATTAGGAGATCTGCCGGGATAAGAACCACCAGGGCCGCGAGGTATGTGTGATACAAGGAGGTAAGCTTCCACTTCTGGGGAGTAATTGGCCAAAGCCGCAATGAATTGCCTTTGATGGCCAGCGCATACAGCGTATTGAGCTAAGAATTGGGGAGTTATTAAAATGTTGTTCATTTCGAAAGCAATATGAGTTGTAGATAGGATATGATTATAGACAAAAACTGAAGATAGACTGAAGATATACAAAAGCAAATGGAATGGGTAAAATGATGATTACAAGAAGCGAGATGAGAGGAACTGTTTATATGTACCATATGCACTGGACTCGTGTTGATGAGGTTGTATGGTATAACCACTGACAACTCATTCCATGTCCGAGATTCAGCAATCATATTGCACAATCTAATCATCACACAAGTACCTCGCACTTAAGAGGTGTTCCTGCGATGAAAAGCTTGCTTGTTTCTAACCAAGCCCGAGGACATTGAAGATGATTGACTTGATATTCTGTGATATTGTATCACCGATATCGTATCACCACTCTCAAGGGGAGAGATAAAGTCAATGTGATATTGATTACTCTTTATTGGCCTCGGCGTGTGCGTTTTGTCAGCTTTTGGCAGTGGTCCAATTGTCAAAGGCCTTGTATCCATGTGCTGTTGGAGTGCACTGCTTTATGAAGGGCTCATACAGCTACCTGTACGCTTAGAGAGGTGCCTGTACGGATGTTAGCGGGTCCAAACTGTTGGAGATGCTCTTAGCAACTTATGCGTCATGTGACATCTAGCAGTGTAATACTTACTATATAAGCCAACTGGAACAGCGCAGGAAAGGTGCTCTCTCTTCACCTTTCCTTGCTTCTTCTCTTGCTGTTCCAGGTAGGCAATAGTTTCATCTTTCACTCGTTATCTTCATTATTTGCAATAACAAAGATCTAAACCTTTCCTTGCTTCTTCTCTTGCTGTTCCAGCTTGCTTCGAACCTAAGAGGTTATGAGCCCGTCGTTACCTCCTGCAGTACAGATCTGAAACTCTGCGAATACATTCTAAATCTGTAATCAACTACATAGTAACTTTAATCTTCAGTCAAACTCCTCTTCTCTCTATTATTCTCTATTCTTCAATTCGGAAAGGTCCGAAGAATTTTTTTTATATCATGTCTGTCTCCACGGATGACTCGAAAGAAATCGGAGTCACCGGTATAACCTTCCTCAAGCCACCAGGCGACGAATCCAACTACCTCGACTGGGAATTCAAGGTTGAACTGGCCCTTGAGGCAGTTAAACTCTCCTATGTTTTATCACCGATTGCTGTCAAAGATCGCTCCAACAACTGGAGTGATGACAATACGAAAGCCTGTGCTCTCATTTCTAGAGCTATTGAGGATGGAAATCTGAAATTCATCAAACCTCATCGACGTGACGCTGCCGGTATGTGGTCCGCCCTGCGACTGGCTCACGAAGATTCAACCTTGGGAGGTCGAATGCATCTCTTGCATAGACTAATCACCACTTGTATGGAAGGTGATGATGTGGAAACTCACATCAATGCTCTCCACCGCACTTTTGAGAAACTCGATTCTCTCATTACCGATGATGCTCCCCTTACCGTTGATGAAATCTTCTCGACTTCTATCATGACCTCTCTTCCATCCGACTGGCTTCCTTTTATCACACCTTTAATGCAACAAACTACAGTAGTTAATTTGGCCACTGTTATTCGCGCTATTCAAAATGAAGCGACACGAAGAAAGACTTCGTCCAATCTCCTGTCACCTTCTGATGTTGTCGCTGCTCGAGCAAATGCGACTCCACGTTCATCTTCTACAGCTCCTCCATCTTCATCAAAGCCTTGTAACACCAAATTTTGTACCCACTGTGAAAGATCAAATCATGAGGTACAAAACTGCTGGATCCGTCAAGCGGAACGAGAAAATCGATCCTCTTCTTCCTCACGAGGTGGATCCAGCTCAAACCGAGGAGGACGCCACTCTTCATCGAATCGATCATCTCGTCCTCCTACAAAAGCCGGAAGAACCTCTGTAGTAACTCTAGACTTCAGTGACGATGAGTCTTATTTAGTCGATGATGAGATCATTCACTCTCATTCTGCTAAAGTCATCAATGTGAACTCGGCATCTTCGACTGACTGGAACATCAACTCGGGTTGTTCTCTTACGATGACTCCACACAAAGACGACTTGTTCAGTTTTGAAAAGACCAACAAATCTATTCAACTTGCGGATTCATCATCAATCCCAGCCACTCACTTGGGCTTGACTGTTTTATCTCTCAATGATGGAAATCATCAACATCAAGCTGTATTAGTGCCTGATCTTCAAGAACCTTTATTATCAGCTTCATCTTTATGTGACGATGGATTTGTTGTCATCTTCAAGAAAGAATCATGCGAGTTCTATCACTCGGATCAAGTCAATTTCACTGAAGCTCCTATCGGAAATGGCTACAGAAAAGGAAACCTTTACTACCTTCCTTCCAAGGTAGCTTCTTCTAACTCAAACTCGACTTCACTCAAAGAAACTAATTTATCTCTTCTTGATTGGCACAACAAACTTGGTCATATAGGTCTGAAGCCCTTAAAGACACTCCTCAAAGCTCACAACGTCGCTCCACGAGTTATGAATCAAATTGATGTCCAGCAATGTAGAGTATGCGTTGAGTCAAAGATGGCTAGGCATTCTTTTAAGTCAAGAGCTGGTTATAAAGCGTCTACAGTTGGGGAACTGATTCACTCAGACGTTTGTAGTTTTGAAGTTCCTTCTCGAGAAGGGTTTAAATATTTTGTAACCTTTATCGATGATTACTCTAAATTCACTATTATCTATCCTATGAAATCAAAGAGCAATACATTTTCTTGTTTTAAATCTTTTCGTTCCAAGTTTGAACTTCGCCTGTCATCTCCAATCAAGAAACTCAGATCAGATAACGGAGGAGAGTATGTCTCAAAAGAGTTTGCGTCTTTCCTATCCGAAGCTGGTATAGAACACAATCCAGGACCTCCACACTCCCCTGAACTCAACGGTGTATCTGAACGTATGAACAGAACCATCTGCAATCACATAAGGTGCTCGTTATCCAGCTCAGGACTTCCTAAATCTTTCTGGGTAGATGCCCTTAGATACCTCGCTCATTCTCTCAATTCAATCCCTTGTTATACCCCTGCGGGTTTTCTCTTGCCATGCTCTTTAGTATCTATTCCCCCTGTCAGCTTATCCAAGTCTCATCCCTTTGGCTGCGAGGTCTACTACAAAATCCCTGAGGCTAACCGTAGGAAGTTAGATCCTAAAGGAAGTAGAGCCACGTTTCTTTCCTACTTATCAGACGGAAATGGATATAATGTGTGGGATGCTACTAAATCAAAGCTAGTTAAAACATGTGATGTCATTTTTAATGACACAATTTTTCCTTCTCTCTCTAAATCGTCAACTCCCTCTCCTCAGTCTGCTCCGGCAGAGATACCATGGCCTGTTCGTGAAAAACCGCTCCCCTCTCTTAAACACCGTCGTCTATCTGTTTCTATTCACAACCCTGCCAGGAGACCTATCACCCCCTCTATGTTTGATAATGCACCCTCTACCCCAGTTTCTCTTTTTCCTGTTACCAAACCATTGCCTTTTCTCTCACCTCTTTCTGATTTATCTACGTCTGAATTTCCACCGCTACCGTCAAACCCATCTACTCCTCCACCGGCAGTCACTCCTCCACCTTCTCGCCCGTCACCTACTGTCAGCGTTGTACCAAGCAGAAGACAATCAACTCCACCTCGAAGAAATCCTCCGAAAACGAAAGTACCTTGTGTTGTCAACTCTCCAGTGTCTGACACGAACTTGCAGCCGACCATTCCTGAAGCTTCTCTATTGCCTCCTGCTCAGCCACCTGCACCTCAACCTTCTCCAGTCCCGCCTCCTCGACGCTCTGCGAGGAACCGAACTCAACCAGATCAACTTGGGAACTACGTTAAATCGGCATCATCTTCCGACCAACAGGTGGATGACACGCCGAAAACGTGGAAACAACTCCTACGCTCACCTAATAAGGATCGATGGCTAAAAGCTGCCGACGATGAGTTCTCTTTGCTCATAGGGATGGGTACCTGGAAGTTAGCTCCCAGACCACAAAAACGAAAAATCATCCGTTCGAAATGGGTGTTTAAGATCAAAAGACGTGTTGACAATACTGTGCTGAAGCTCAAGGCCCGTCTCGTTGCGATGGGCTATTCTCAAATCGAGGGTATTGACTGTGATGAAGTCTTTGCACCAACCACCAGACTCGAAACTCTTCGTTTGGCTCTCTTGCTGATGGCTTCCAAGAAATGGAAAGGCCGTCAGGTGGATATCAAGACAGCATTTCTCAACGGCCACCTGGACGAACCTGTCTACATGAGCCAGCCTCCAGGTTATGAAGACCCTCTCCACCCTGACTGGGTGTGTGAAGTAACACGATCCATCTACGGTCTCAAACAATCACCGCGTCAATGGAACCGAGAACTTCATGGAGTCCTCATTGCTCTTGGTCTCACTGAATCTAAACATGACCCGACTCTATATTTTCGACTTGAGAAAGGCAACTTGCTGGTCTCATAACAGTTCATGTACATGATCTCTCTGTAATTGGTCCTGACTCTTTTGTTTCTTCTTTAATTTCTAATCTCTCTTCTCATTTCCAAATTTCATCCAATACTGAACTTCATCATTTTCTCTCTCTTAATATTTGTCGTGATCTTACTAAAAATCTAGTGTACATCAATCAAGCTCATTATATCAAAGAGCTTGGTGATAAATTTCTTTCTTCTTCTTCTATTCATTCCTCTGTTGTCACTCCTACCGATGCGTTCTTCAAAGATCTCCTCCCTCGTCAAACAGATGAGCAACCTTCCTCTGGACACTACCAAAGTCTCATCGGCGCTCTGTTATGGGTAGCACAATGCACTCGTGCTGACATATCATTTGCAGTTAGCCGCTTCTCACAATTTCTTCAAGACCCCTCACAAGCACACTGGCTCGCTGGTTTACGTGTCCTCAAATACCTTGTATCAACTTCTCATCTTTCTCTAACACTCGGAGGAGACCCGTCGATCTCAGGATATTCCGACTCAGACTGGGCTGAAGATCGTCATGACCGAAAATCAACCACTGGATATTCCTACCGATGGGGAAGCGGTCCTATCTCGTGGAGATCTCGAAAGCAAGCAACAGTCTTGCTGTCTAGTACAGAGGCAGAGTACAAAGCTCTCTCCGACTCGTGCCGTGAAGGACTTTGGCTTCGTAACCTCCTTTCTGAACTTCATCTCCAACCACCTAACGCAATACCACTGCATGTCGACAATGAAGGAGCCGAGGCACTGGCCAAGAATCCCCAACATCACTCTCGCACAAAGCACATTCACACACATTATCACTTCGTGAGAGAATGTGTGGCCGACAACTCAATCTCTATTCGACATGTTTCCACCAAAGACATGCTAGCGGATATGCTCACCAAACCACTAGGCCGTGTTCTTCTACAATCTCATAGAGAGCGTTTTGGCATAGTGTAATTTTTTTATTTTTCCTTTTTTCTTCTACAATTTTTTTCTTCTCTCTGAGATGTGTTGCACGCAAGGGGGGGTGTTGGGATAGTCAAGTGTCATACGAAGTCCTGTCTAAGATGCGTGACTTTTCCAATGTCCTGTCAAGTCCTGTGTGACTATCTCCTATGTTCTTATTTCATTTCATACTTACATAATATTTCATATTTCATTTCATAACTGTCTGCTTAGCAACTTATGCGTCATGTGACATCTAGCAGTGTAATACTTACTATATAAGCCAACTGGAACAGCGCAGGAAAGGTGCTCTCTCTTCACCTTTCCTTGCTTCTTCTCTTGCTGTTCCACGTAGGCAATAGTTTCATCTTTCACTCGTTATCTTCATTATTTGCAATAACAAAGATCTAAACCTTTCCTTGCTTCTTCTCTTGCTGTTCCAGCTTGCTTCGAACCTAAGCAAGGATCCCCCTCCAGTTGCTACCCAGTCAAAATCCAAGAACACTACAAATCCAGAGATTGGCCTTTTGGGCAAGGAATTTGCAGAGACAATGGCAGACACATAGGGTGATAAAATTTCTGAAGAGTTCCAGCAGGGAAAAAGTGGAGTCAAAGAGGAGGCAGATGGATCCTTGAAATTGAGTGGCTCATTAAGTGGTGAGGGATCAGCCTCTGAAGGGTTGTGAGGATGTGAAGCCAGTGCTGAAAAAATTGAAGAGGTTGAAGAAAATTAAGTGGAGAAAGGTAAAGGGAAGGGCAAGAAGGTATCCTTGTCAGAACCTTCTGGAGACAAAGTAGCTAAATTGGACAGGTTGGATAAGGGGAAGAAGTTTAGAACCTTGATTGGGAAAGATCAAAGGCCATCTGCTTATTTGGACAGATGTACAAGGTGGGTTCTATTCAATGTGTTTGGCTGTTTTGACGCTCCTGGAAGAGATACCTGAAGGGTTCCTGTCAAATCAAGTCTATGAACTTGGAGTTATTTTGACTTGAATTGAAATAAAACTTACTAAAAGTTACAAGTTCAATTCTTGAGGCTTTGTTTCCAGGTTGATGGTGTTGTCTGAGATAAATTCAAGCCAGGATTGTAAGTTATAGCAAATCTAGTTTACTTAACAAATGATATGTACTCACTGAATATTTAAATATTTCAGCCGTCTTTGACCGATGGGTAAGTTATTACACCTATCTCAGGGCAGGTCTAAGTCTACTTAAATCAATTTAAGGAGGCTAAGTCTCTTTATTTCAAAGTGAGATATTAGAATATCTTTGACTGGAGTTCTTAGAGAAATAGAGCTGGGTCTAACAACAGTAAGTCTTCAGGATGGAGAATAAAAGGAATAAGATAACAGAATAGCTGATAGTAACTTAAGCTAGCTAATGGAAAATATATCACTACTTGATAGTAGATAAGGTCTAGTCAAGAAGCAAACTACTTGAGCGCTAGGAATTATTCCAGGTAAAACAGGTCTTTTAAAGTTGTCTGAAGTTTAATGTTAAGGTTATAAGATGAGTCTCTTCTTTTGGCTTGAGAATGAGTCTTTATTTATACTTTTCTCTGTTTCAAAATGCCTAGGTATAGACTTGGATTAGTGGTATTGTTTCTTTTTTGCTAAGGGTTCTTTTGGGACCCTTTCATTTAGTTTGTTGGCTGATGACATACTGGTTTGAATTAGAATTGTGTCATCCAGGGTTGTGTTTCAGGTTTTTGGCCTGCCTTGTTGGTTTTGTTTTTATGCTTAGACCGTTCTGGTCTATGTTTAATAATTCTGGTTTTGACCTGCTTTGTGATTACGTAGCAGGGGGCTTATTTTTAATATCTACTCTTGAAACTTGAGTAGGAGGTGTTATAGTCTTGTTGCAAAGGAAACTGGTGTAGACAGTTTTCTTCTTATGCAAGAATCAAAATTTATTTTTAATATATGTTGTTTTTTTCTAGTGTTATGTGATTTGCATCCCATTGGGATACACTGTTGGATCCTCTAGTCTGACAGTTCCCATGTGGTCCCAAACCCCAGGTGCAGCAATACACATCCTATAGGGTCAGAAGACTCCTAGCTCCAGTGGAATCCATAGTCACCATGTCCATGTGGTGTTTGCCCGTTGACAAGCGCACAGGAGTTGCCTTTGTGCCTCAAAGGCAGTCCGTGTGCGCTTGTCAACGGGCAACTGCCACAAGGACACAGTGAGTAGCATAAGGGATGGTCTAAGTGCTGATTGTGAGGTTGTGTTACAGTGGCTGAACAAGTGTTACTGACTTGGGGATTTTCCGGAAGCAAACCAAACAGTATGGAATGATGGATCTGTTATTGAATGTCAAAATTATCAAGGATTAGGAATGGCTGGATGGCAAGTCACGGGCAACCCAGCACTTGTGACCACAAAAACCAACTTTCCACAGGCAACTTATTGCTTGCATGGCCGTTCATTGTGAACATGCAAGACCCATTGAATGAATGTATTGATTAAGTCAATGGTTGACCCCACCAGCCAGTAAAGCAACACCTTTTTCCAATTGAAGGCCATTAACTGATTGGTAGCTGGCAAAAGCAATCATTGAACACACCATTGTTGCAACCTCACCAAATACAATCAGTGATGCTTTTTTCTTTGTTTGACAAACAGGAAAGAGATTAGCAAAATTTATGAAACCACAAAATAAGTTGACCAATTTTATCACCTGGTTTCACTCAAGTCACACCTTCTGTTGTATCCAATCAATCATCTTCATCTCCTGGCTCCACCTGGTCCATCTGTGCTGTCCTGATTGGGTTTACCAGGCTGATGAGATTGATCAATAGGATCATCCAGATCAGCAGTATCAATATCTTGAGATGTATTATCTAATTCTTGTTCTGAGCTTGATAATGATTCAGAATACCTGGCAATTCTTTGGGACAAAGAAAAAGCCCTCAACTTGGAAGTTGAACCATCATTGGTAGTATCACCTCTGCCTCCTGGTTTGTTGGTTTCACTTGATTTGCCATCTGAATCAGAATGATTGGGTTCAGGTGCATTTCTCAATGGCTTAGCTGATGATCTAAGTTCAGGCTGAGCAGGCTTGGCCCCAGGATGACCTGCAGATAGCCAGGGCCTCATCAGTTGGAATAGAAAATCCATTCCGGCTCTAATTTGTTGACTCCTTTTCTCAGATGCTGTTATGCCAAAGAATTTGGGCTTCACAACATTTGCAGAAACATGAGGTAAGTAATCAAGTCTTCTCCATTGTTTGGAAGCTTGAATGTTGACTATACACTTGGCCTATAATTAACATCATGTGTAACATTTTCAGCACTTTGTGTAAGTCACCCCAAAGTAATATACTCATTTCTGAAAGAATGAAGATCTTCCAAAATGTTCTACAGGTTGGCTTCTTGCAAACAAGGTTTTGAATTGCCATTAAGAAAAGTAAACTCAAAGGCCATCCAATTGGTCTGCCCCAATATCTACAAGACATCTTCATAAGAATGTCTTTGTCTTCTGACATCAAGTAAGTCACAATAACATCCTCAAAAGTAAGATTTGATTTATGTTTTCTCAAGTGGGTGCTCAGTTGAAGGAGGATTTCAACCATCAACAAAATCATAGCAGGGGTGGTGGCCAACATATCCATTCATGAGAAAGATTGTGCAAAAATTGATACCAAACTAAAAACCAAAATTAATGCAAAGAGCTCAACACAGCTGAGTGTGGCCAAAGTGATACTTGAGATGGTTGGGAAGATCAGATTCTCAAATATTCTCATGAGGCTCAAAGAGTGATACACTCATTATTGAAACTTGAGAAGCTTTGAATGAAGGTGAGTGTTCAGCAGCTTGCAAGGAAGCTGAGCTTTGAGCAGGCAGCTTGTGATGGAGTTGATCTTATGATAAAGCTTAACAAAGTTAAGATTATGGATCACTAAGGGGTGAACAAAACCAATAATATTCAAAATCACTTGGCATTTGCAGCAATTATATGAGTGGTTTTCATGCTGCTGTTACTCTCCAGGCCCAAACTTTGAGCTGTTTTTTCGGAGAGGGAAGCGCATTCCTCAGGGAGGAAACATGTACATTATGCAGATTTAGGTGCACATACTTTTGTTTTGGACCATAGAAGAATCCTTGGTGTGGAGAGTGGTAGAAGTCTTTGTAGGACACTCTGCAAAAGCCAAAACCACCAGCTTATGAACTGAAAGAATTTAGATTCCAATGATGTGCAACCTCAGAACAGAAACAAGACTTGGTTTTGTTGACTACAGCATGTGATTGCTGTGCTGCAGTGGCGACGGGAGGAAGAGGAGAAACTGGAGAATTTAGGAAGGATGGTTGGGAATTTGGGGAATTTGAAAACTGAATGGGGTTTGTACCCTTTGTACTTATATGTACAAAGGGTTTCGAAAAAGGGCTTTGAAAATGTATTTATGAAAATCGTGAGACCCGTCGACTCGGAGAAATGTCAAAGGAAACTATTTGATCTCACGGTAGGCAAGATCAAAAAAGAGAAAAAAGGATTTTTTTAGTTTTTGCCAGATGAGGATGGTGATGCGCTCACGCAAAAGAAAAAAAAATTACCGATGATTCTCACAACGGCTGTATTTATGAGAGCCCTCAAAACCAACCAAAAAAGTATATCAGAGATACTTACATATCAGCTTATCTTTGAGTACCTTAGTTGAGATATTTGACGTTTGGAAAATCTGTGGTGGGTCAGACAAGGTCAGACAAGGTCAGACTTAACTGAGTCTCACGCTATCGCAGCTATCGCCGGACCATTGTCATCGAAAGCATCTGTATTAGCGAAGTTCAAGAGTGAGGATGGTGATGCGCTCACGCTCACGCGATATAGATCAAGCCTGAAGGCTATAAAAGCCCCCCCAAGCAATCTCCCTGTGGGCCGCAGGCCACACCTTCATCCACCTCCAGACCCATCATAGCATTCCAATTTTGAACCTATCACCAAGTCCAAACTCCTTTGCAATTCATCTTTATCGGAACAGATTTCAGCTTTCGTTAAGCAGTTCTCACTTCGTATACTATCATGCTTTCACTCAAAATGTTGGTTTTTGTCGCTTTAGCAGGTCAGTGAACTTGTTCGTTTCCCATTCCGTTCAAGTTCATTCAAACTGATTTCTCTGTCAATTCTGTCAGCCATCATCTCTTCTGCTGCTACCGGAGCCGATGAATCGTAAGCCAATTGGACGTCTCTCGTTGTCTCTTAACCTTGAATGCTAAGCAGAGCGAGTCCCAACCAACCTAAATCATCCGCAGTGCCTATCAAAGTCTTCTTCACCCAAGATCTATAGAATCATTACCCGAAGCTTTTACCAAGAGATCGTAAGTGAATATGATTAGCCTCACCTTTATGTGTGTGCTCTCAAGGCTAATCCTCACTCAAATCCGAACCATGACGTGTTAAGTCGTGCTGGAAAGGTTGGCAAAAATCATGGATCGTTACACTGCTCGGTGCCGCCATGTGTTCCATTGTAGTATTAATTCCATCCATTGCAATTTGAATCGGATAAAAACCTAGTGTCCAATGATCATCTTCATCGCATTTCATCAGTACTTTCTAGTTCTTCTCTCATGTTTTGTTGATACATCTTCATTGGCATGAAATGTTTGCATACGTGCACAGAAAATTAAATTGTGTGGTTATACCATGTTTACCATTCTAAATCTACTTTGATATTATGCTCCTTATATTGTGATTAAAACTGGGGATGATGTAATGGAATCCTTCTGACTACTGATCATCGTCATCACGTCTCAGCATCTCTTTTCAGTTTTCTGACTATGTCAACATACCTACGAATATTTGCTACTATCTTCCAGTAATACATTCTGAATCACACCACACTTGAATATGATTTCACTAGTTCCATGGTCTCTTAATTTCTTTCCTGTGCGCAGATTCTAGTATTCTTGTGACTCAAAATGATACTGCTTGACTGGATAGTTAGAAACCTACTGCCATGAGTTTATCTCCCCAATTATTCATATACCCCAGGAAGAACCAAAACTTCCAATCCATTTGCGCAATTTGGACCCAAGAGAACTTGTTCCATCCATGCAAGAATAAAATATAATATAGTAAGAATTCTCACTTTTGCACATATCATCTCTTTCTATCTTTCCTTTAATTCTTGACACACTCCTCTTTATTTAAGACATAATAGATAATGCTGTGTAAGATATTAAATGGTTTTTGACTCTTATTAACTGTGATTTTTTAAGAACATTTTGCATTCAGGTATGAGACCCCGGGCCCTAGTCATTAACATAACTACAATCAACCCCTTGATCTTTAATAACCTTACATGTAGACAATCCTCTTTTATGATAATGCTGTGATGGAGAGATTACCGGGTCTTGAAAGATCTGGGTAGCTTAACCCTTATCTTTATGGTACCATTTGGTAGCCCCTGTAATCCAACCACACCAAGTCCACCTTGAATCAAGGTGTAGGGTGTTTTGTTTGGTACGCCTCGAAGGTGCAGTTAGTCAAGTTAGGCCTGTTCATCTGCTTTGAAGAGAATCTCTTGTCTTTGTCACCATATAGAGTTTAGTCTTGTGTGCCGGCAGTGGAGGTCTTATACAACATCAGGATTGAATGTATGCGCATGGATTTGGTTGTTGATAGGATCTGTTTGCCTATCAATATACTCCTTACTTGAATCATGTAGGCCAATTAAATTATTGAGTTCAAATGAACATCACCTTACTGCATCTATCATTTTGCATCACTTTGATCATACTACTTTGCTTTCACTTCACAATCTAATTACCTAACACATCTTGAATTGTCTATAACTTAATCCCAACAGAAAAACTCCTTAATCCCAAATTATCAAATTATCAAATCATTAAATTATCAAATACTCAAAACCCTTTATCCACTCTATCTCTTTCTCTCTCTTTCTCCCTGTCTCAGTTGATACGCAACTCCAGATGAATTATAAAGTGGAAAAAAATATACAATGTCATGATTTATTCTGTAATGCAGTCACTAGCCTATAAGATATCAAAGCAACCCATAATCATTCCCCCACCAAACAAAGTCCAACAAGAAGACCATAACATTCAAGACCCATGAATCGAATCAGCATATAGAAATCATCAATACCAAAAACAAACCATCAGATTCGAATTAAAACTAAATGGATAGAAACCATAGGGAATGAATTGATTGAAAAAGAAACACTAACCAATCTAATCCTTCTTCTAATCCTTCACCTTTAATTGCACAAGCTTTGAAAATACTCCATTGACGGTTTTTCAATGTATCAAGTCCTAATCCTTCGGAAACTTCAGCAGCTGTTAAAGCATTCGGTTGATCCTAAAAAGCGTTTCTCAAAGAAAACCAAAACCAAAACCAAAACCAACATCAACATCTGGAATCAAAACAAGAAAGAAAGAAAAACGGTCAAGAGGAAGAAGAAAAAGAACCTGTTTGTTTGCAAATACTAAAAGTTTAGCATCGGTTAATTCATCTTCACTTAACATTGATAATAATTCGGCTTTCGCTACGGGTAATCTATCACGATCATTTGAATCTACTACATATATTACAGCTTGAGTATTTGAATAATAACATCTCCAATAAGGTCTGATCGAAGTTTGACCACCTAAATCCCACTGAAAACCAAACCAAAACCAAAAAAACAAAAACAAATCAGTTTTTCTTTTTTCTTTTTCACTTTTGTTTTGGGTTTTTGAGGGTTTTAAAGAAGGAATGGTAAATTGACTTACTACTTGAAATTTGATGTTTTTATATTGTACTGTTTCTACATTAAAACCGATGGTTGGAATCGTTGAAACGACTTCACCAATTTGAATTCTATAAAGAATTGTAGTTTTACCAGCCGAATCTATTCCGAAGAAAAAAAGAAAAAAAAGGATATCATTAACAAAATCTTTTAACTTATATCGATCAATGCTTTTTTTTCTTGGTCTTGTTCTTGGTTTTTGTTCTTTTGCTTTTGTTTTGTCATTTGTGTCTTTTTTTTTGATAGAAATCTAACCTAATCCTAACATTAAAATTCTGATTTCAGATTGACGAGAAAAGATTGATGAAATCTTTCCAAAGACCGATGAGAATGCGATTCCCATGTTTTGCGATTCGATTTGAATGAATCCAAGTTGATGAATGATGACTGTTTAATGATGAATGGTTTTTGAAGTTGAAGTGTCGTTTGATTCAGCGATACAAGTTCAAGTTAGATTGGTTTAAAGTTTGAATGGGTTTCCCTTTGAACATGAACAGAAACTTGAAACTTCAAATTTCAAATTCTTAAAACAATTCAGATTACTAAGCTTTTCAAACATCATTTTTATACATTTTCTTAAATTAAATTGTAAAGCTGAGCTGATCTTCAAGGACAAAGAGATAATTCCTGAATCTGATCCTTTGGAATACCTTGAAATGGTGTTTGAAGAGTTATGCGGAAAAGTCGATCGATATATAACTTGGCTTCATGCATCCCTTGATCGAGGTTCGAACATAGAAGAGATCAGCTTCACTACATATACACCTCAACGGAAAGATCGGTATCCATTCTGGCCTTTTGGCTTAGATCAAGTGTAGTATCTGTTCTTATCAGTGTAATTACTGGTATTGGTTCATCGAACCAATCAATTAATTACTCTTATCTTTGAATGCCCTCGACTGCTCCCTGGCTTGCCAGCGTGGTTGAGACGATGGCCTTGGGCTTACACTACCCCCTAGTGCTGTCAGGCAAAACCTCCTTTTTGTTGTGGCCAACATCATTTTGTTTTTACTTCTGGATGTAAATGTTGGTTTCAATTCAAGAAAATTTGAATTGAGAAAGCAGTATGTGCAAGTTACTATGTATACTGGTGATTGGTGCAAGGCTCAGGATTGATTATTCTAATCTCAATCAAATCAAAGCTTACTGTGAGTGAAGTTGATCACATGGATCAGGGTGTGAAGGTTTGACAAGACCAATCTTGAATTATACCTCAAAGAACTTGTGTCAAGTGATCAAATACTCAGTCAACTTTAGAATCTAATCATCTTCAGTTGTCAAATTGTAATGTGGTCCAAGCAGTTCAAATAATTGCATTCACCAGACTTTTGAAACAATTTTAATTTGAGTTCAACTCAGAAACACAAAGGAGAGGGATGTCTTGTTGGGGTTTTGAAGAAAGATAGCTGTCTCACAAAATCTATATAAACTCAAGCTTTTTCATCTCTTATTTTGATCATTTGACAATCCAACAACAAGATTTGAAAAAAAAAGTTTTATAGGTTTTTTTGGACTTTGGTGAAACATCCCCCTTTCTGGACCAAGAAACCACCATGTCCACTAGAGAGGCTCTCTACGTCAAGAACGTCACCCATTACAAAGGAGCCCCTTTGTAGTACATTGTGATCTCAACATTGAGAACGTCTCTGGCGGACGCAGTGAACGGCAACACTGCTTCTTCTTCTGGGCCATTGAATCTGGAAAGAGAGGTTATATTTGACCTTTCTTTGAATTTCCCATTGTGTGTAGTGAGATTCTTGTAGGAGTGCTTTTGACAGATCTTGAAGGGTTCAATGAAAAGAACCACAGTTAATTCGTTTGTAAAATTGAGGACTTCTTATGCTCATGGAGATGCATCCATCCAGATTTATTTGATCTAATCCATATGAATCTGTTTTGGCAACATATCAACAATCATGTTGTGGGTGCGTCCTTTTTGAAAGGGGACACCCAGGCGCAATAAAACTCCATTAGACTGGCGCAGGCGCAAGTGGGGCGCGTCAGGCGCACCCTTTGCCCCCAAAAAAGTAGAAAAAAACGGAAAAAATCTTCTACGTCAGCAGAGGCTAGTATTACAATGCCAGCAGATACATAGTTGCCAATAAAAGAATTCTAGTCATTGATTGCAAGGTAGATTGCAAGAGATATCACGGTCAAAGGAAGTCAACTGCGACTCTATATGCATGAAACTCTTACAGCAAGTTGCTTACATCTTTTGGACAAGACTCTGTCTGTCAAGTGACAACAGCTCAGAGTGAGGTAGACTGTTGGACCAATATATCAATACATACTTCCATGTTGGTACTTCTTTGATGGATGTGAAGTAGGTGGAGACTGAGTAGGGGAACTGTTGGAACGCTTGACACCATTTGAGCTTCAGGAAAGCCTCTCATTCAAAATTCTCTACATGGTCCTGAAGATTGTATGATATATTTTGATTGCAGTCTACATCACAAATGGCACAGTTGTTAAAAAGTTTATGAAATCCAATTCGATGATTTCAGTTGCCGAGTCATTGCAACTTGATACAATTTGGTATCTTCTCGTGCTCAGGTCTTTATGCTCAAATTCTTTCCGAAAAAGTGTATCATAGAGATGTCATACGGATCAATAAACCCGATCAGCTGATCAATATAATGCTGGATGATTCCTTTGATCAATATGGTTCCAATTGAGTTTGTGCAGATGAAATGATGAGTGTTAAAGTGATCTGGAAGTGCATCAAAGCTTTGCCTGCTAAAACTAAAAATGACCCGCGGACACCCGTAGCGTAACGGCTTTTACCGGTAACCGGATGATAACCGAAGATTACATGTTGATTTACATGTGTTGGACCCCAAAACTTAAATGCTCATCAAATCACTCCTGTGATCGATGATGACGATGTTCGACTATATCAATCGAGTCGTTGATTAAGTATTGCTACCTCGTCAAACTTATCACCTTCAGTCCACACCTTTCTCGCATTCTCCTAACTGAAAAAAATGGCCAACTCAAAACCTATCGGTAAGTGGTCTGGTCATATATTCACTGATATGGAGTTCCTTGTAGTTTCATGACCTGACATCTCGTGTCTTCTTTTCTGATCATATATCACAGATTGCTTTTCAGCCATTCCCCTTGCGCCACCTGACGCCATCTTTCAACTTACTGCCGCATACAAAGCTGATACCTTTGATAAAAAGGTTAACTTGGGTGTAGGCGCTTACCGGGATGATTCTGGTAAACCATGGGTACTTCCGGTAGTCAAAAAAGTCGGTATATCTCATCATTGTTTGGGTTGCACAAGTGACTAATAGATCATATTCTTGATCCGATCAGGTCAAGCAAGCTTTAGCAGATGATGAAACTCTCGATCATGAATATCAACCTATCACCGGCATTCCTAGTTTTGTCTCGGCCAGCGCTGCCTTGATCTTGGGAAAGGATAGTAAGGCATTGCAAGAGAAGAGGTATGTTCAACTTTCCTTTTTGTTCATCGTACTATAAGATCTCGTGTTGTTCCTAACAGTCTTTAATTTTGTCTTTAGAGTCGCCACAGCGCAGACTATCTCGGGAACTGGTGCTAATCATCTAGGTGGACTCTTCTTGGCCAAGTTTTACGAACCATGGCAATCAAAACCGGCCAGTGAACGAGTAGTTTATCTTTCCAATCCAACTTGGGGTCAGTGATTTGTACGCAAACATAGTGAGATCCAGGACCTAACGTCAAGTAACTTTTATCTGGACATGCACTTGATACATTCTCCAAATGATCGATAGCAAACCACAAGGCCATCTTTGCAAATATCGGACTTACCACCAAGGATTACCCGTATTACAATCCTAAAACTATTGGCTTGGATTACGATGGCTTTCTCAAGTCCTTAGACACTGCACCACACGCGTCTGTCTTTTTGCTTCACGCGTGTGCACATAACCCGACTGGTGTAGATCCGACTCGAGAACAATGGGCACAAATCGCGGACGTTTTCTTGGCCAAGGGTCATTATGCGTTTTTCGATTGTGCTTACCAAGGTTTCGCGTCTGGAAACCTCGATAATGATGCATGGGCAGTCCGATACTTTGTGGATCGTAAAGTGCCTTTGTTAGTTTGTCAGAGCTTTGCGAAGAATGCGGGGTTGTATGGGGAACGAATAGGATGTTTGGGTGTGGTATGTAAGTCAGAGGAAGAGACTTCACGCGTTCAAAGTCAGATTAGTGTACTACAAAGAAGTGAAATCTCGAACCCGCCAGCCTATGGTGCCCGAATCGTAAGTTTGGTTCCTCTGAAATATAAGAATGATCTACTGGTTGGTGGGATTGGCCATTGACTAACATCCACCTGATCTGATGTTTCAGGTATCAAGTATCTTGAATGATTCCAATAATTTTGAGCAATGGAAAAAGGATGTTAAAACAATGGCGGATCGAATTATTACTATGCGTCAAACTTTACGTAAACTACTAGAGGAGAAACATCAGACACCTGGATCATGGGATCATATCACTCGTCAGATTGGAATGTTCTCGTAAGCCTAGGCTTATCGTTTGATCTAATGGATGTGAGTTCGGTGGAATGTGACACTGATTTAGTTTGGTTTTTAACTGCCGTCATTACATTGGCCTCGAAGGTTTACTGGACTTACACCCGAACAAGTGACTGCGATGGTCAATAAGGGACATATCTACATGACTGGAAATGGTCGGATTTCTATGGCGTAAGTCAAGAGCTTCAGGATCCTCGACCAATGTTGAGAATGTGAATTGATTTTTTTGTGATGCTCTTGGGTTGTTTATCAGAGGTTTGAATAATAACAATGTGGAATATGTAGCGGAATGTATGGATAAAGCCGTACGAAGTAAACTTTGAAATGTAGTGAGGGTTAGAGGATGTAAGAAGCATTCCAATGAGTTTTTTTCAAATAACTTGAAAGGTAAGAATCAAAAGTAAAAGGTTTGGCCATCATTATAATTTCAGCAGATAAAGAAATCTCAACTTTATCACCCCAAATAAAAATAAAAATATATATAAATTCAATGTTGTTTTTACAAAGTTTTGATTATTTTTTTTGAGAAGGGAATGTGTGTTGTTGATTTATCAAAGGGTATAATTAGATTATTCTTAAATTTTCTTTTGTATCAAAGGATTTTAAATGTATGAGAGTGCTTCATGATATTTTTAGTATTTTGAGGAATGTGTTTTGATTTTGAAGTTTGAATGATTTCTTTTCATTATCCCCTCTCTTTAAAGTTTGATAAACTGATCTGTGGTACTACTATGTAGTAATTCAAATTAAGATTACTTTAAATTTCATCTCTCAACTTGAAGGTAGTATTTACTGATTTGTAGCATGCGTGATCAGATTTTGATATTAAATTGAATAAAGGTAAATCTGGAAGACCCACTCTTCGAGCCAAAAGCTTGGCGCTTCTGTCTTTAAGACTAAGTCGACACATCTTGATTTCAGGTCACACAGCAGCTAAAGCCTGCTACTTCTGCACAACAGCTGCGGGAATTGTCCTAAATGTTGAACATTTTTTCAACAAAAAACCAGATGGATAAATAACACCATAGGCTAGGCACCAACTTAAGGCCCTAAGTTAGCTTACCTTTTGTTAGGTACCTAACCTGTCACTATGTCGATGTCCGAGGTTTCGGACCCGAGATTACTTCGGATTTCACAATCCGAGGAAAATAGTTGGCTGTGCTTATTCAAGGCTGTCAAACATGCAGACCGTTCTTTTGACCGAGGATGTACTAACTTAACTAAGTCACACCCCTGCGAGAATTGGGACTTGTGTGAAGTTAGGAGGATGTACTAGCGGTATTCTACACTGAGTCTAGACTCAAGCATTCCAAGTGTGGCTATTCTAGATATAGGCCGCAAAATTCCGTTATGATGAAGCTGTTCGATGAATCAAAGCATGTCTTGAAACATGTACCCAATTTACTCATGTAACCACGGATAACCGACATGACATCTGGTATTCTTTGACGAAACATTATTCATATACCAATTTGGAACGCTCAAAAGGACCAAGAGTCTGTTTGTATATTGTACCAATCCATAAATAACTACTGCACCACAAAACAAGCGAAAGAAACCCCAATCCACCTTGAATACAAACACACAGTCTCTACAACCAAAGATTATGCGCAAGTATACGTAGATGATCAAGTCAAAAATGATCCAAAAGATAAAGAAAGTACTAATCACATCACTAGATAATCGGCATAAAAAGAGAGCCCTATAAAAGACTGTAGTCAATACAGATGAATCGGAGGTCGGATAAGGTGAAACTAAAGTTGGACCGGCAAAACAAATGAGGTGATGCTCAGCTGTAATAATGTAAAAAGACCACAGAAAATAAAGGGCCTATGGTTGGTATAGCAAAGTAGACTAGCAGAAATCTTCAAAGCTGTTTCAAAATTGTGATGAGTAGGAAAGCCGAACGGAAAGTCAAAGAACGAGAGCGTGAAAGATTTCGTGCCAAATGTTGGTGTGAATTTGTAGCGAGGGTAAGACTTGAATTGGACGTTGATAAGTAAAAAGTTTGTATACGTTTTGGCGTGTCCATATTGAAAGAGTGTGACAAATTGGCTCTGGATTGATTCGGTTCTTAGACTTGAGCAGCTGGAGAGCCATGCTTTTCGTTCGAGAAAGGATCGAGGTTACCGACCGGTACGCGCGCAGGCTCTACTCGACTGTGTCGTCCAGTCCATCCTAGAGATTTCTTTCCGGCTTCGCCGGGCCAGAAGTACTCGAATCGAGCAGCTGGAGAGGACCATACAGACTTATTATGTACTTTGCGCCGGATGGTTTGGTAGATAGCTGAAGTAAGGAGTAATCCGAAGGGTATCGTGATCGCTAGCCAGCAAAGCCAAGCCGAGACAAAGATTGAAATATAACCTCTGCATATGAAGAATTTACCCTAGACATAGCAACAGATATCTTGAGGGTTAGCGTTTGGTACAAGTGGCAAGGGAGCGGTAGGCTTACGCAGCTGGTCATGAGACCTGGGGTAGATTGATGTAAAGACGCAACGCCACCTGATACAACGCAATGGAGAGATTAGTATCTGGCATCGATACCCTAACGAGACGTGAGACGAAAAAAGCTAACCAAAGGTCATCAAGGACAAAGCCCCAGTCCAAATGGTTTCTTGAAGGACCGTTCTCATGAAGCTGAAGCCATATAGTCCCACATACTCATCACTTGGTAGCCAAGCCATGCCGAGGACGATCATCATCACAACGCTGGCAGTGAGTAGTTCAGGTATGGCATGTAAGAAGCTTCCATAGTACATCTTGATCGAGTAGGCAAGCACGACCGAAGTGGAAGCGAGTAAAAAGATTGATAGGGCGACGAGAGCGACGTGGCAGCATACTCTGAGTTTGTGGACGTTCAAGATCGATCGATGCGAAGTCCAAGAGTTGAGTTGGTTAAACATGACGAATTCGCGAAAAGGTTGGGTGGTATGAAATGGTCTGAAAGGTGGACAAGCAAGTAAGCGAGGATGGATGTCGTTTTGAAGTGCGGTGATTGATGAATTTGTATAATGAAAGAAAGTGAGAGGACTTGTCAGCCAAATGAGATGGTCGCCTTTATGTATGTTAGATGACGAGCTGCGCAAGATAGGCAAATAACGTCACCTGAAATGCACTTGTGCCTGGTTTAAAGGTAAATTCGATTCGAAATCAGGGCAGGCGGCTTGACACACAGTTGTTGATTAAATCTGGCCGTAGGGTTATGAATTAACATCTATCTGAACAGCTGGATACAAGAGTTTAGGCAGACATACCGATAGAGAAACATAAGTTTTACATTGGATGAAAGGGGTTGGAATCCCTCAGAAAACTCAAATTGGTGCCTCCTGTCTGTATTTGCTGCGATGCAATTATGAAGATTGACCTTAATAGTCCTTACAGCTGACTGCGGTACAGATAAGCTGACGTATTGGTGACTGCAAAGAAATGCGTGCTTTGGTAAGTAGATAAATCGCAGTCATGCAGAGTCATGCCTGAAAGGCTCTTTCTTGAATGCGAGTGAAGATCTTGTCAATCACCGTGAACGATTTGGAATCGTGGGATTGAACAGAGGCAAGGTCACAGCTGTACCCGGGAGGACCACCAAACTCAATAAGTCCTCCCTCTGGCGAGGAAGGACCACAGGCCGTTTGAAGTGTTTGACTTGACGGAAACTCGATTCTCAACCCGAGACGTTTACGTGCATGTTTTGCATGTCGCACCTTTTTAAACTCTGCTGTTCCAACTCCACACGACCTTGGCCGCAAGGCACATACCACATACATACAGTCGTTTTCAAAAAGCTTGCCGAAACTTGCCCGCAAAACTCGAGCAATTTGGCGGTGAATTAGCGGCAAGCTTTTTGAAAACGACTGTACATATCAGGCGAGGTTCTGGCTGGTTTGAGAGATTTCAGTCAGCATAAAACCATTCAAAACCAGGTATGGACCTTGCTGGACCTTGCATTCGTGAAAAATGCCCTCATTTATACTGACTTTCACCCATCGTTTGAATCTCAGGAGGGCGCAGCAAGCTAGGATACAACACATTTCGTATATTACTTTTGCTAAAAAGCTTGGTCCAAAAGAGAAAAAATAAAACAGAATTAGACCCAGAATTCCACCGCAGCAGTCACAACGCAGCAGAGAGAAAAAAGTTTTAGGGTGCTCAGACAACCACGCCTCGCCAGATCCCACTGGCACTACCCCTTGTGCTGCTCACAAACCGATTGCTTTGCCTGCACTCCCTCTCCCTCTGTCATCTTCACCACCCACTGCACACGATCCAGACAAACCAAGCAATGGATTCCTCAAGATTTCTCAACTCAGAAAGGACTTTCCAAGGCTACGATACTACATCTTATAACAATGCTAAGAGATGTAGGCCCTCGATGACCAAGAAACAAAACGCTGCTCGACAAGGAAAGCAGTCATCTGTTGTGTGAAACTCTACAGTGTTCCTCCTATGTTGATAACGAGCATTTGTTCAAAAATTAAACAAAGACATGATGTTGAAGCTTTAGTACCTTACATATCTTCAACCTGTCCAGTACCAAGCCGGATAACAAAAGTCTGAGATTGAATACCTTATGAAAGCTATATCCAAAATGCGAGTGAATTTTCAAGGTAACTGAGGTTGACAGGATCATCGATGGATTATGAACGATATCAAGACCGATCCCTTTGAATCTGCTATGAGACAATCATATGATTGCGAGTTGAGAACAATCTCATATCTCTTATGAGGTCAATAAAACTAAGAAATCATGGGGTTTGAATAAGTCATCCAAATCCATTCAATTTGTCTATGGTCCTATGAACGAGCTGAAAAATCATCTCAGTTCTCTCAAAGACATTCAAAATCCAAAGATCGACTGGTTTTGCTCAGTCAAAACCAATTGACCTTCTTTGTTCCTGTGGAAGAGATTGTGAACAATCTCAGCTCTCTGATGTAATCTAGAGACTGATTTTGTTGAGAAAATCCAAGTCGATCGATTTGCTTGTGATCCTATGAAGAAGATTGAAACAATCTCAATTTTCACATCAATCTTATCTATAATTTCTTGATTCCAATTCCTATACAATGACAAGCATCTCTGAAAACAATTCATCTATTATAGAAAATCTAGCTCGTTAATTCAGCTGTAAAGATCTTATGAGCTGCCTTCCGGATCCGTTCAACTGGATTTGACCTAGATGATGAAACTTGTGATCTTCAAACATCAAACTTCAACACATACTGCAAACTCAATAGTGTTCAACTCGGGACAGTGTGGTGGTAGGTATTGAAGAAGGATACCTAGAGACAATATTAGAGATCATCAGTGAGTTGAATGAAATGAACTGAAAAGAGAAATGGGAGGAATTGAAGCAGTAGAGTGTATCTTGTTCCTTACATTAGTGAGCAAAACGAAGTCATCGACAGGGATTTGAGGGATATGAAAAATTGTTGGTGGCAGTGGGGTAATCAAAAGGATGGAACAGATGGGAGCTTGAGCGCACCCTAAAACTTTTTTCTCTCTGCTGCGTTGTAACTGCTGCGGTGAAATTTGTTTTTATTTTTTCTCGATCGGGCCAAGCTTTTTAGCAAAAGTAATACTACCTTTGCTAAAAAGGTTGACCGGGTCGACCGCACAACAGAAGACAAGAAAGGCCAAATTTCGCCGCAGCCTGCTGCGAAGCCGCTGCGCAGCTTGCAGAATCCAAAATCCACCCGATCACAAATCTTCATACGATCGACATGAACTGCCGCTTTCTGGCTTTGTAATGTCTTGGGATTGATCATAAAGCACATATATCTAGCTCATTATGTTGAATCAAGCGTACAGTCAGTTTTTCAGTGGAGTG